TACAGAACAGGCCAATTATGGAGTGATCCACCCATCTTCCACTCCCTGCTTCTGGTGGTCAGAGGTTTAGAGTTACCCCAAACAGGGCTACATCCTTAACCATCTTGGCTAATTCTATCCTCCATGAACTTATCCAGTTCTTTTTCGAAGCCAGGTATACTTTTGGCCCTCATAAGGCAATGAGTTCCACAGTTTAGTTATGCATTGTGTGAAAAACACATCTCTGAAACTGCTTTGCACCATTTCAGAGATGCAAAACTGCGGTAAACCCACTATAACTGGCTGGTTAAACTGGGGCTTTGACTGCTTTGCATTACCAGAGCAGCAAAAAGAAGCCAGAATTCATCAGTGAATCTGGCCTAGAAACTTCCTTTTTTTTAAATGAAACCTTAAAATTTGCAGAATATTGGAGAATGTGGAAAAAACTGCTGAAAGACTTCAAAATTGTGGAGTCCAAGTCTCTTTCTCTCTCTCCCCCCCCTCCCCGCCCGCCCACACACCAGCAGTGGTCTCCCATCCTCGATGTTAAAGCACTTTTTTTTCTTTCGGGAGACAAGATAAAGAAGGCTGAGGTGTGGTGTTAATGCCTGTTTTGCTTCAGTCTTCACATTGTGACCAGACAAGGGAGAAGGAACAACAAGAGGACAGGAACGCAAGCCAAAACAGGGAAAGAACAGGTTAAAGAATACTCAGATGAGTTAGATGTATTCAAGTCAGCAGGGCCTGATGACATATACCCTAGGATACTTAAGGAACTAGCTGAAGCAATCTTGAAACCATTAGCGATGATTTTTGAGAAGTCATGGAGGACTTGTGAGTCCCAGAGGACTGAAGAAGGGCAAACATAGTACCTGTCTTTAAAAAGGGGAACAAAGAGGACCTGGGGAATTATGAACCAGTCTGCCTAACTTCAATACCTGAAATGATACTGGAACAAATTATTAAACAATCAATCTGTAACCACCTAGAGGATAACAGGATAATATGTTATAGCCAACATGAATTTGTCATGAAGAAATCATGCCAAACCAACCTAATTTCCTTCTTTGACAGTGTTATTGGTCTAGTGGATGGGGGGAAGCTGTAGACATGATTTATCTTGATTTTAGTAAGACTTTTGACACAGTTCCACATAACAGTCTCATAAGCAAACTAGTGGTTGAAAGACTGAACTCAAACAGTAGTTGTCAATGGTTCCCTGTCAAACTTGGAAGATGTATCTAGTGGGATCCTGCGGAGGTCAGTCCTGGCTCCAGTACTATTTGATATTTTCATTAATGACTTGGATAATGGAGTGTAGAGTATGCTTATAAAAGATGGGAAGGGTTGCTAACACTGTAGAGGACAGAATTATAATTCAAAATCACCTTGACAAATTAGAGAATTGATCTGACTTCAACAAGATGAAATTCAATAAAGACAAATGCAAAGTACTACACTTGGACAGTAAACATCAAAAGCACAGCTACAATATGGGAAATAACTGGTTAGGCAGCAGTACAGCTGAAAAGGAGCTGTGGCGGGGGAGGGTGTTAGATCACACACAGTCAACAATGTGATTCAGTTCAGAAAAAGGCTAATATCATTCTAGGGTGTATTAACAAGAGTGTCATATGTAAGACACAGGAGGTTACAGTCCCACTCTACTCAGATCGGTGAGGCCTGTGTCCATTTCTGAGCACCACACTTTGGGAAGGATGTGGACAAACTGGAGAGAGTGCAGAAGAGAGTGACAAAAATGATAAAAGGTTTAGAAAACCTGACCTGTGAGGGAAGGTTAAAAATGGGTATGTTTAGTTTTGAGAAAGGAAGACTGAGGGGGAGCTGATAGTCTTTGCATATATTAAAGGCTGTTATAAAGAGGACAGTGATCAATTGTTTTCCACATGCTCTCTCTATGCTGAGCCCCGCTGCCTACTTTTTGAAATGCCAGCCTGCTATGGATTTGGGGATATTACAGATAACACCCCTGTTATGCAGGATGGGAGCATGCTGACAATTCAAGAAGGTGGCAGCTGGCAGATGGGACTGAGCCAAAGAATCTATTGGCTTGCAGTGGCTCACTGTCCCTGAAGCATAATCTTGGACCTACATTTGCAAGGAGATAGGCCCCTCTGTATTTGCAGAGCCACACTCTCTTGGCCTCTGGGTTCCCTGTCAGCACAAGTTTGGATCAGCATTTAATCCACCCTTGTCCATAGACAGCAGCTCTGCCAAGTGATCCCTAAGGGAGCCTCCATCTGGCTAAGTCAGTAGGAGCAGCCCTGAGCATTTCTCAGCTGGCAGTTTCTCTTCACATATTTTACAATCCCTCACGCTACAGGAAAAAAAAAATGTAAGAACAGCTTTGCCTAATTAATGGTTTGGAAAAAGGAATTTGTATTATTCTCAAGAGGTTCTTTCATAATCCAGCAAGGATGTTGTAATTAAATAAAGTTACCATCACTCATTTAAAGAATAAATGTAATTGGCAAAAAGTCTATTTCAATTTAAGAGGAAGAGAGAAGGAATTGACTAAGGCACAAATTAAACGCTGAGGGCTTGATTTGAATTACACCGATGCTGGTGTAAATCAGGGGTAACTCCACAAAATCATGGATGTTATAGCCTTATAAAAACAGGTGTAAGGAAGAAGGAGAGTTGGGCCCCAAATGCTGGACATGAGGAAAGAGACAAATGTGTACATTAAGCTCTGTACTGACTGCACTGAATTATGCTGTTGGGTGGAAAAATTTTAGTGGACTATTCAGCTGGAGAGCAGTTACATATTATAATTTAGGCTGGCAAAGGGCACCACTCAGCTGTTAAAATGACAAAAGTTTCAAGTGCAGTTTATGATCTGACTAAATATACCTTTCAGTGACAATAAAAATAAAAGAAGAAAATCCTGTCTATCCAGGGATGGCTTCTTTTCAACAGCATGCCCATAAAAATAAAAGGGGTGTTTAGATTTTATAGTAGTGAATAAATCCTATCCTTCCACAGCCTGGTTCTTGGACTGGTATGTGTGTGTATAAAACTGTCATTTCAGGTTCCTCAGTTAGTTGTTGGGGTCAAAATCATGATGTCCTTACTCAGACAAAACTTCCACTGAAGTCACTGTAAATTTTGTCTCAATAAGCAAGGATTAAAATCCAAGTATAAAGATTTCAAGTTTGCCCAGGATCTTACATCAAACGGTTTAGAAGACACATATATAGAAGAAGACACAGCTAAAGGCTTTCAAAGAACAACCTTTGTGTAACTCATTGATAATGGATGTCCAAATGTACTTGGAAAGCAAAAGATAGCAAAGATTAAAATAAAACCATTATAAAATGATGAGTAATAATATCTTACATATATAGTCAGTTGCATCCTGAAAGAACCCAAAATGCTTTATAAGCCTACACACACACAAACACACACACACACACACACACACACACACACACACACACACACACAGAGAAACAGTTCATTTAATCCACTGCTGAAATACAATTACCTCTTGGGTGGAATGTGGCAGATATTTAGCATGCAGCACTGCACAACAGGCTGCAGCAGGCAATGGAGAACAATACTACAATTTGTAGCAATAGGGTATGTTTACATTGCAAAGAAAAACCTGTGGCAGCAAGTCTCAAAGCCCAGTTCAATTGACTCGGGGCTGCAGGGCTAAAAATAGCAGTGTAGACATTCCAGGTCAGGAACCGAGCCTGGTTTTGGATCCTGGGCTCCAACCCGAGTGGGAATATCTACACTCCTGTGTATAATGCTGCAGCCCGAGCCCCATGAGAGTCAATTGACCCAGGCTCTGAGACTTGGTGTTGCAGGTTTTTCTTTGCAGTGTAGACTTATCCAAAGGTAATTACCATCAGTTGGCTGTTTGGCGACATATGAAATAAAATGATTGTCTTAGTTCAGTTCCCTAGGGGGCAGGTCTCCACATCACACACAAAAATGTGCTATCACAACCAGCAAACTAAAAACCCAGTTATCTCTCTGGTACCCAGGTGCAACTCCCATTGACTTCAATGGGAGTTGGATCAGCTCCTTAGAGGAGAATCCAAACATTGCATAACCAGTGGAGCCTGAACTTCTCTCGCTCCTCACTAGAACGGACCTTCAGGTCAGCACTGCCAGGGAGAGATGGTTATATTTACACTGTAGTTAAATAGAGGAGATTTATCTCCGGAGCTGTCAGTCTCAGGCCTTTCACCAGCAGGTAATTCACTTTTTAAATTGTATTAAATCCACCCCCCTGGATATAGCTTGCAGGGATTTATGGCAATTTTACAGAATAAAAGTACTGTGCTTCCCCAGACTGTGGAACAAATTACAGCAGGCACTGATACGGAAACAGGACAGGCTGATGAGAACTGTGAGCATCATTGCATTCTCACCTATGTGTGTGTAAATTGGGGCTCTCCAGTGGAGATACCCTGTATGTTTATATAACATAGCACATGTTAATATTGTATTATCTCTTTATAAGGAGATGTACATGCTGTTCAATAAAAAAACCAGTAAAGAGAATATATAAATTATGACATGATCCAATGGTTGGAAGTTGAAACTAGACAAATTCAGATTGGCAATAAGGTGTAAATTGCTAACAGTGAGCATAATTAACCATTGGAACAATTTACCGTGGTCGTGGTGGATTCTCCATCACTGACAGTTTTTACATCAAGATCAGACGTCTTTCTAAAATATACACTCTAGGAATTACTTTGGGGAAGTTCTACAACCTGTGTTATACAGGAAGTCAGATTAGTTTATCTCAATGGTGCCTTGTGGCCTTGGAATCTATGAACCTCTGTGAATTTATAAAGGACTTCAGTGTGGAACTGCAGCTTTCATGGTGACCAATCACTTCAAATGGCTTTTATTTTAAAAAAATTCTCTGAGTTGAAATATTGCTAAATATATGAAGGAAAGAAGAGAAACTATGAAGGAAAATCACAGGGGCAAGTCAAAATGATCTACAGTTCTCTCTGTATAATGCTGTTAAGTACCCTTTTCTGTTTTTGAACCAGTTGTTCCAGCTCTTGTTCTTTTGAAACGAGTTTATGTTCCAGCGCTTGACTGCGGGACTGAAACCTCTCTGTATCCTGCGAAATCAAAAGACATGAACATTAAGCAAAAAGGCAGGGTTTTCATCATCAGGGCAGCATGGCCCAGAGGACAGGGCATAGGACTGTTAGGCAGATCTGGAAGTAAGGGGTAGATTTTTAACAGTGAGGGTTACTAGCCAATGGAACAGGTTACCTAAGGTTGTGGTGAATTCTCCATCACTTAGGAGGCCAGATCCTCAGCTGGTGTAAATTGGCATAGCTCCATTGACCTCAATGACTGAAGTTAGTGCATCTATGCTGAGTAACACCAGCTCAGTTTCTGACCCACATAGGAGGTGAAATTTTCAAAAGTGCTTAAGGGACTTATGTTAAGCCTCATTTTCAAAAGTGATTTAGGCACACCTGAGCCTATGTCTGTGAGACTTAGGAGTCTATGTCACTTTTGAAAATGGGTCTAAAACTGCTAAATTGCTTCCACGTGTTTGAAAATTTTACCCTGGGTCTTTCTATAGAATTTCCTGTAGTTCAGCCACAAGTTACCGGGCTCAATACAGGTATTACTGGGTGAAATTCTATGGCCTTTCTTATGCAGGTTATTATAAATGGTGCCTTCTAGCTTTAAAATCCATCACTTGCAATCGTGTGAATCAGGAGCAGCTCCGCCGAAGTTAACAGAAGTGGTGTAAAATTGATATAAGTGAGAAGAGAGTTAGGCCCTGGGTGTTTACAGACCTCTCAGTTACTGCAGTGGCCCCACAAGCAGGTGGTTACCCAAATATTCTATAACAGCATTTGAATAAATGAGAACCCCTCCTTCTCTCATTAGGAATTACTCCTTGGGACAGATTCTCAGATGGTGTAAACAGTAGCGGATTAGGGGTTTGTGGTGCCCTGGTCCAAAGGAATTGGGGACCCCTCCCCACCCCTTCCACCTGCAATCCTCCCCCTGCCAGTGGCGGATTAATCACTGAGCCAACAGGCCAGTGCCCAGGGGCCCCGGCCATTTGGGGGTCCCTGAAAATGGGTGCCCCGCGCCCAGATCTGCTCGACCTGGTGCTCCTGCTGGGGAGCGGTGGAAGCCCCCACATCCTGACCCCACTCTCTGCAGTAGTGCTGGGGAAGGATGTGGATGGTGTGGGGGGGGCCTACAAACTTGCTTTGGCCCAGGGCCCAACAAACCCCATATCCACCACTGCCCGCTGCCCCCAGCACTCCTGCGGGGAGTGGGGTTGGGGCATGGGGACTTCCTCTGTTCTCCGGCAGGAGCGCTGGGTGGGTGGGGGCAGTGGGGCAAGCCCCTGTGCCCTGACCCTGCTCCTTGGCAAGAGCACTGGAGGGGTGGGCGGAGCAGGTCTGGGTGTGGGGGCGCCCATTTTTCGGGGGCCCCCCAATTGGCCAGGGCCCCTGGGCACAAGCCCCGTTGGCCCAGTGGCTAATCCACCACTGGGTGTAAATTATCAGAGCTCCAGTGGCTGAGAATCTGCTCCCTTAGTTCTTCAGGAAAATTCCTTTAGAAAATGATCAAACCTCCCTCAACTGGGTGGGTGCAGGAACACTGAAATGTTCCCCCACTCCTCCTCTCACTCCTAACAATATATTTAATGAGGCAATTTAATGTACATTAACTGGCTTCTTATTCAGAAAAATATATATCCAAATGAATAAGACATAATAACCATTCCTCTAACACAGTCCTTAATCGGCAGGGTACCAAATATCTTAAATAGCAACAGTTTGTACTTATTTGCCTTCTTAACAATTTCTTTTTATGTATTTTTCAAACGCTATGCTTTTCCAGAAACAGGCAATCATTTTCTTTTTCATATGGCATCCGTATGTCTCTGCATTCTGTGGGGCCTTTGTGAACTTTTGCTTTAGGGAAAGAACTTAAAACTCCAAACACCAAAAAATAAATTAGTCACACCAAGAAATAATACTTCTTGAGTGTCTGTGGCTGCTGACTAACTTTTAAAGAGCTAAACTGAGGTTTACCTGGAAACCTACAAAGGCCTGTGATAGGGATTAATAATGGAATTGATTATGCTACCTTAATGTTAAAGTTAATTACCAGTTACTGGTAATATAGTTTCTTATAGGTTAGAATCTTTAGATCTTATTTTTGGATTTACAGTATAATTTAAATAGTGGCACTCTTTTTATTAGAGCATACAAACCAATCTCTTGCATATCAACCTTCATTATAAAAGATAATGCATTTTACAACTTTTCAAATGCTACACAACTCTATACAAGGCGATCATTTGACCCAACATTGAAATTCACCCAGCTCTGGAGTGGAACACAGCTGCTGTGTAAGGGTCTAATCCAATGCCCAGTGAAGTCAATGGAAAGATTCCCACTGTCGATAGTGGGACCTAACTCTGCAAAATACACACTAAACAACAGTTTAGGGCAGGAAGTAAAGAAAAATTTATCCAGTTGAAACTACAGGGCAACTTTTTACACAACGTGTGACATACATGGCGTTGCTCTGTATTTCTGAATACTGTGTTTGCCAGATTATTGGGATGTTTACTGTATTGGTTTAATCCAATAGGGATCTGTTTGGAAAAAAACAAGCAGGAAGTGAAACAATGGCTCAAGATAAAATACTAGGGGGTTAGGAGACAATGCTGGATAGAAAAAGCCTGGACACCAGAACATCAGAGGGACTATGGCAGTTTAAAAAGAGACTCTCTCTGCAAGGGTGGGAGTGGGGTGCTGTTTAATAGTTGTTGAGGAGCTCTTCAGGGAGGAACCAGCCTGTGACAGCAGCACCCATTGGGGTGTCTGAAGAAACTAGGCCTGCGTAGATTATCATCAGGGATGGTAAGCCTCTAGGTACGATAGATGTGCTTGTAGACTTTTTGTTGCTTTAAAATCCTTTTTCTCTTATGCATTGTTCCTATTGGGGTAAATACTTTGGTTTGAGACGTCTGTCTGGTCACTCTATTCACCTCTGGCCACAGATTCCCAAACGGAAGGTCGGCAGGTAATGAACCCAGTTGGACTTGCTGGGTGAGCACAGTAGATACACAGGGCACTGTAGGGCTCAGTCTAAGAGTGCGAGAATGGTAGAATTCCACCCCAGGACAGGTAAAGTCATGAGACCTGTCACCTGAAGAGGTTCACTCAGAGAGACCAGGAAGGGGACAGAGGTACTCTGTAAGAATGACACCACAGAAATTGTTCAAGAAGGAATTTGGCCAGGACATTGAAACTAGTGCTGCTGTGAAAAGTTCCAGGGGATCTTTTTTGATCACAAATGGTCAGGACCTTGATTTTTAAACCCATGTAAAAGATGGCACCTCCACTAGCAAAGTGGGCTATTGGTTCGGTAGTTATTCCGAAGGCAGGGCCGGCTCCAGGCACCAGCACAGGAAGCAGGTGCTTGGGGCGGCCAATGGAAAAGGGCAGCATGTCCTGGTCTTCGGCGGGAATTCGGTGGCGGGTCCCTCAGTCCCTCTCGGAGGGAAGGACCGGCCGCTGAATTGCCGCCAAAGAATGAAGCGGCGCGGTAGAGCTGCCGCCGAAGTGCCGCCATTCGCGGCTTTATTTTATTTTTTTTCTTCGCCGCTTGGGGCGGCAAAAAAGCTGGAGCCGGCCCTGTCCGAAGGAATAATACCACCTCCTGAATATCACCAACACCACTTAGTGCAGTTTGTGGGTGCGCCTTAGTCTCCCATCCAAGTAGTCAGCCAGCCTGAACCTGCAATCTGATGAGATCACTGGGTGAGGTAGTAAGTGAAATTATGCTTTATCTTATATTTCTCTGTAGACTGTCATTTTGGGGGCTTTCTTTTGCTCTCACACTGGCTGAAATCAATGGAGTTACCCTGGTGTAAAAACTAGTGGGAGAGCAGAATTAGGCCTTCCATATCTTTAATAAAGAGACACAGTCACCTTCAAGAGAAACTGTTCTTTCTCATTTTTGATTTGCTGCTCCATTTCCTCATAGAGATGTTGAATTTCTTCATCATAAGCAGCAATTTTCCTAATAAGAGATAAAAGCACACTGAGTGGGTCTTTGTAGCATTATTTCAAGTAAAAGGCTCACAATCTACCAGTTTAGCATCACATTTCTGTTTTAGCACAAGACTCAAGGGAATGATCCCAAGAGCAGAAGAAAGTATTTACATATAGCAGGGTCACAGATAAAAACCAAATTGTTTCCCATGGGGGAGAGCAGTAACTGCACTAAAGCTAATAAGGCTGTTTATTTGATATTTTAAAATTGGCAGCACAATATATGATGGCTGTTTATCAGGCACTCTTAATAACTGTGGAACCTAGAGCCTAAGGAAGGGAGAGCCTAGACGTGACACTAATAACAACAATGAAAATACTGGAAACAATGTTTCTAAATTAGAGCTGGTCAAGTAGGAATGAAAGTGATTTGTGAGTATTTTCAAGTTGCAGCTTTGCTCTACTGTTATTTATGAGACTGCATTATTCATGAGTATTCCTACAACCAATGATTTATTTCTGAAACCACTAATGCATCCCAAAAGTTTCAGCACAAAGAATGACTTGTCTGAAAGTTCATATGCTACTGTGTCTTTATGTGTCTCTCTCTATTTTGACACTTGTTACACACTTGTTTAAAGTTTTAGTCACCCCGTCAGGGAGCAGATTTAGAGCACTTTGCACAAGTGCACACGACTACACAAAGAACAAGGGATTGAATAATCAAGCCCACTTTTTTTGGATTGAGATTGAAACAGATGGATTAGGAATCTAAACAGGATTGAGACGGAAACAGCTGCAGTTTGGCACCTGGCCTGGACAGAGCTTGCATGGAGAATTAGAGAGACTTTGCTAGCATTTGGCTGGGTGGGGCGGGAATAAAAATATATTTTTCTGAAATCATCAGCAATTGAAAAGTCATTTCTCAGCACATTCAGAGGATTTTTAGTAGAGCCTCTGTGACATCGCTGAACATTCTCCCCACATGGTCTGGCGAGGATGGATACGGGTTGTTACTCAGGCAATTTGCAGAGTGTAACTGCCCAGAAATCCTCAAAAGTCTTCAAATCAGGAACAGGAGGAAAAATAGGGGGTACAGAAAAAAATCACTGTATGATTTGGGAATTCCCCTGTGAGTTTTCCTATATTCTGCAAATTCTCCTCTGAGTTACACCATAGCAAATCAGGAATAATGCCAGTCAAGCTAACTGATTTAAGAATCAGGTCATTTTTTCCCCTCTAAATGTTCACAATGCCTGTCATTTATAACTTGCATTTTTCGTCCCCAACTAGAAAGGTCAGTGTGTAGTCTCAGAATTCACTCTAGTGATAAATGAATGTTGCACTATATTGACACAAGAAAACAAAATTCCTTAGGGCTGATTGTCCACAGCCTTGCACTTTGCATGGTCATTTATATCTATGCAAAATGAGTTCAAGCTGTGTGTTAAATGCAGACCCCCCTATGGAGGCTGCTAATCCCCATCCTCCCTCATGATGCAAGTAAATAGTGAAGGAAAATAAAGGGACATTTTATGCTTCCTTACTTCCCTTCATAGGTGCACAGTCAGATTTACATTCTGGCCCAAAATATCTAAAGCACTCTATTCTAAGAAAACAATAATCCATAGAGCAAATTCAGAGCTTCCTTGAGTGGGTGGAATTCCATGAAACCATACAAGACTTGATAATCATTTAACAAGATAGCACATGAATGCCAAGATCACATCTGTAAACCCTGTATTTGCCCAATAATATGTCACATTGAGCAGGGTTAGGCTGGTTATATAATGAAAGACCCTATTACGGTGTATATAAAGAACACAGTAGTCAATGTTGCCATGAGAACCATAACTGAATTTTCTTGCTTGTGCAGGGTAAAAGGAACAACTTGAATATTGAATTCATACACTATTGTTTTTAGCACTGGATTTTCTCTAACTTGTGTTTGCAAGGGCAGAAGAGGGCTATAATCTGAACATGACATTTGAGAGACAATTTAATATCATGTTTGTTTGTTGTCTGCTTTAGCATAGTACCAGGGGGATGACATCTGCAGGCTAAACACACCCAAAGTTTTAATTATTGGTTTAGTCTCCATTCTTAAAGCTGGTCAAATAATAATAATAAGATAATTTATCATCATTATTTAAAGCATAACGTAATCATGAATAATTTATCCCACAAGTAGTGGGGAAAATTTATCAGATAAATTATTTGCTAGATATTTGTCAACCATCTGCAGAGGTGGTAGAGTAATGGAAAGAAATTATAGCAAAGTAATTTATTTAGTAAAAAAAAAAAAAGCCAAAATTCATCATCAAACAAACAACAGCAACAAAAACCCCTATTCACCCTGAATAATTTGACCAGCTTTAACTGTTATATAATTCCAACGCTAGTGCTGTAGTGCTGCTTTGTCTTTACAATAATCCTGTGGATAAATGTTTTTGTTTTGTTTTTTGTTATAACACATTTACCAAACTAGACCATAACTCTGGTTAGGATAGCTAAGGTGACATGTTCCGGTTATTATGTTCTGGTAGTGAGGTTAATGCATACATGGGATGGTTTCATTTCTGCCTATTATTTTAGATGCAGTATTTGAATTTTGTTCACCATTGTTCACACAGACATTTGGTCAGAACAGCCGTTACTTCAAATGAAAATTGGTTAGTGTGTTGGGTACTTTATGGGCTGATCCTACAAGGTTCCAAATGTCCTCAACCTTCTTTGAAGTCAGGCTCTGCTACTGACTTGCTTTTGTAACCTTCACCTTTCTGGGTGGCATTCATAAGATGACTATGTCCAATATTTAGGAACCATTGCCATTCACAAAACCCCCACTCATCTGCCACCTAACCCGGTAGGTGCCTATGTTTCCAAATGTAAAGTCCCCTAAGGTGCTTAAATTTCAGCAGTTGGGCACGTGCACAGTCCTAAGTAGAGGGGTGTGCCTATATCCTAACACCACCTCCCCAGATATGGGCTATAGGGTGTTCTGGGGAAGGTCTGTCTTAATGTCTCCTGTTGAAGTGCTGCCGCTGTATATAAATAATTAGATATTCCTTGGGCCAGAGAAAGAGTGAGAATGACTCTCTAGCTCAGTGAGTAGGGCACAATCATAGGACGTGAGAGATCCAAGATTGGCAATCCCAGCTTCACATCAGGCACATGGTGGAACTGAACCTGGGTCTCCCACACTGAACCCTAACCACTGGGTTAAAGATTATAATGTGGGGAAGGAGGGACTACATCTTCTTCTGCCTCCTCCTCAGTTTTTCCTTGAACAACTGCTGACTTGACTCAGGGCTTGTCTACACTACCGCGCGGGGTCAATCTAAGATACGCAACTTCAGCTACATGAATAGCGTAGCTGAAATCGAAGTACTTAGATCTACTTATCGTGGTGTCTTCACTGCAGTAAGTCGACAGCTGATGCTCTCCCGTCAACTCCGCTTGCGTTTCTCGTTCTGGTGGAGTACCGGAGTCGACGGGAGAGCGCTCAGCAGTCGATTTATTGCATCTATACTAGACGCAATAAATTGACCCCTGCTGGATTGATTGCTGCCCGCTGATCTGGTGGGTAGTGTAGACAAGCCCTTAGACACTTAACTCCAGGAGAGAGTTCACAGCTGTGAATCCCAAGTGAAGGGAGGTGTCTCCTTCTGGCCTGAAGTTAGATGCAAGGGAGCTGGAACAATTTGTATAGTGGGGGTGCTGAGAGCCATTGAACTAAACTGTAAACCCTGTATATGATGGAAACCACTTCAAGCCAGGGGGTACAGCAGCACCCCCAGCATTCCAAGTTCCAGCACCTATGATTAGATGCCTAACTCCTTTTGTGGAGGTGAGATCTAGGCCACTTCCCTGTACTCAGCATTTCTGTTGGCTAGCATAGGCATTAGGCAGCTCAGCATGCTAGCTTTTCTGAACCTCTCTTTTAGTTGCCTAATGCTCTGGGAATCTAACTCGGGGTTGTGAATTCCACCAAGCAGCAGAGCACTAAATGTCCTCTGTGAATCCTACCCTGAATGCTCATGTTTCTCCTCCCACCCTTTGTCTGTCTGTCTCGTCTGTCTAGACTGTAAGCTCTTTGGAACAGAGAATGGTCCAAACATTATGTGTTTGTACACATTCACAAGCACAATGGAAGGCCCAGTCTCAGCTGAGGTGCTACTGCCCAATCTAGATGCTACTGTAATACAAATAAATAATATCAAATGTTGATATTTGCGTTAAAGCACAGTACCAACTTTGTGCACAACACTATGGAGGCTGTGAAAGCCTGGACTCCAGTCAAGTTTATAAACCCTGAAGGAACTCCTGAAGAGATTATAAAAGGCACCAAAAATTCCATAGAGATTATGAACTCTTCAAGGACCTATCAATAACACAGATATATTATGTCTTTTCAAACCAGCAAGATATAAGTACATCAATATCTAAAGGGATAACCTCCCTCAAAACATCACTGTATTGTCCAAAACATCACTGTATGATTTAAAAATAATTACCACCAAGTATTTGGAAGCCAGAAATTCTAAATTAAGATAACATTTACAAGAAAAATGTTGGAAAGTAAGTGAGTTAACAAACACTAGGAATATAGAACATCAAATACTGTGTAAACGCCAAAAGCATGAGTTTTGGATTTGACCCACTTGTTTCATGTGTTTGGCTATTACTCCAGGTGGCTATCACAGGTGTGTGGCTCCCAGCCCAGCTATCTCTTTGAATGGAGATGACATACATATAATATTTGGTTTAATATATTCTTGTGGGGTAAATCTTTTCTAGTATTGTATAAATCAAAAAAAAAAATTATATAAAGAGCAGGAGGTCAGACTAGATGATTATAATGGTCTCCTCTGGTCTTGAAATCTATGAAATGCACATCACACATTCATTAGGGAGAAACTCCAATGGAAAAAACGTTTTGGGTTACAATGCTACCAATCTGATTTATTTTCTTTACGGTAATTCAGTTTTCCTAGGCCATCTGTCTTCAGACTGTGATGGTATTTAGTTTGGAAAGACTAACAGGACTTGCTCTGTGTGTGCTCATTTGAAAATTCAGTCCAAAACAGTTTACTTTCTGTTCAGAAACCTTTCATGGAGTTGTCTGATTAAGTGATAACCCTAATAGAATGTGAGTTTGTGCTCCAGTAATGATCTAGAAGTGATGACAGAAAAATATTGAGGCAAACCATTATCATTTATCTAAAACCAACAGCTAGCAAATACAGAAAGGTTCAATTTAGATGAAACTATAGACATTTAGTGGAGCAAAATCTTTCATTCTGGTTATATTTGGCATGATTGGTTGAAAAACAGACGTGATAAATCTGTATGTTTCTATGGTTCATTTCTTCAGAGGACATCAATACTAAGATCTGGAACTATGTCAATATTAGCCAATCAAATCACATATGCAAATGTCTTCTTCTTAATTTGCTCCTCAGAGACCAGTAATAGTTTTTTCCCCCTAGGACCACAAACTTTGTTTACTCTTTAAAGAGTTCGAGTATTTTTTTTAAAAAAAACATGCTATGTGTAAGAAATTCATGATTAGATCAGATTTACTTTTGCGCCAATAAATATTAACATGCATCTAAACACAAGCCATATGGATGAATGCAGTTCTCAGTGAAATCAATGAGGTTGCACAGGTGCACAAGTAGAATTTGTGCCAATATGGGCTCATTACACTAAGTGAACATAAAAATCACATAGAAAAAACTACATTAAAAAAGATAAGTTGGAAAAGTCAGGGAATACTAAAGTTAACATTGCCTGTGGATCCTTAACTCTGCCCCTTGGTACATATACAGTATGATACAGTCTTTAACTACATGACCACACAGTATTTTTTCTTCAGGATCCCTGCCCCATTCAGTGCATAGATGGGATGAGGTGGGTGTTCAAAAGTTAAATTTATCCTTATTATCCAGAGTGTGGCCTCATGCCTCATACTCTGCATACCATCCAGCACCAGCGCTGAATGAGGCAGGTCTCCCAGATTAAAAAGTGTATGATTGTGTAATTAAAAAGACTGTATCATAACGTATTCACACACGGAACAGGGGGAAGGATCTGTTAGGGTAAAGGTTTTATGGGATACTTGGACATTTCCTGAACTTGAGTGCTTCATTTTGCAACCTTAAGGTTATTTTAATATATATATTTTTATGGAAATTCCTGGGAGTTGGTTTTTAAGAGAAAATAAAACAAAGAAGTTCCATCATGTGCAACTATTTGCTAGACAGCAGCAGAATGATCTGTTCTGTCCTATACACTATATACGTTTTTTAGATATCACATGAAATGAAGCAGGGCTCTTTTGGAACTTGGTGTCCTTCTTTACACACCATCACAGATCATAATCTGCCGTAGGGGCTTGGCCAGAATTGTTCTAAGGAGGGGGCCCACAGCTCTTCCTCCCCTGCCTCCATCAAGCCCCACACTCTCCCGCTGCACCCAGCCCCAGACACTCCCCTACTGCTACCCACACCCAGCCCCACACTCTTCCCCCCACATTGCCCTGCACCCAGCTTCAAACTCTGCTCCCTCTACCTAGCTCTGAGCTCTTCCCACCCCACACCTAGCCCCAAGCTCTTTCCCAGAGAGGTGGTCAGTCTGAAGAGCATCATCCCCACCAGGGGTCAGGCAGTTCTGGGAGCCCCAGACCCCCTTCCATCCTCCTGTGTCTCCACTTCCCCTAGAAGCACCAAAAGTTGGATCCAATCCTCTCACCCTCCTGCAGACTAGGGGGTTCCTGGTGCCCCTGCTCTGCTTCTCCTGGAGTGTCTGGCACCATGGCTGCTGGAAGGACTGCAAAGATGGGGGTCCAAGCAGGTGCATGGGGTCACAGTGCCACTCATATTCGGACCTGTTCCCCCTCTGTCCTGAGGGGGGGGTGTGACTGGGCTAAATTTCAGTGTGTAGCATTGTGACCCAGCACATGGGGTTGTAACACCACTCAAATTTGATATGGCCTCCCCTCCATCCTGATGTGGGGGTGGCTGGGCCAAATTTGAGTAAGTGGCATTGTGACCTGGTGCATGAAGTTGCAGTGCCATTCAAATTTGGCCTGGCCTCTCCTCTATCATGACAGAGGGGCATCTGGGCCAAATTTCCAGTTCCCATCAGTGGCCAAGGGGCAGGGAGTGGGCTGGGGCCCCCTGCCTGCATACCTTGTAGTGCCCTTGATCCAGATACACCTTCATATAAAAAATGATATTCCACTCAACTTACTTACGTATTCACAATTCCAAAACACTGTTAAAAGATTACCTACTCAATGGAAATGTGACTGACTGAGTGAGGGAGCCCAGCTGAGAAGGAAAGAGCTGGGCTGGGACTATAAAGACAGGAAATTGGAAGCAGAAGGGGGCTGCTGGGAAAGGTTGCAGTCACTCTTTGGAAGAAGGAAGAAGTGTTTGGAGGCTACAGGGACAGGCAGCTCGTAGTTGCTCCCTGGGAGAGGGGAGTAAGGAGGCTGGCAAACCCAGAGAGGATGGAGTGCCAGATGGTAGGAGAGGGCTCAGGGAAAGCCAGTAAGGTCCAGGAGGGAACCTTTACTGCTGGCTAGAGAGGGTCCCTGAGCCAGAACGTGAAGTGGATGGTGGGCCTGGGTTCCCCTGCCAGCTACTGAGGGAATGGCACCATAGGGCAGTGAAGGAGAAGACCGCCTGAGACTGCTGGTGTGGAGAGACACTTTGAAAGACTTTAAGTATCAGAGGGGTAGCTGTGTTAGTCTGGATCTGTAAAAAGCAACAGAGGGTCCTGTGGCACCTTTAAGACTAACAGATGTATTGGAGCATAAGCGTTCGTGGGTGAATGCCCACTTCGTCGGATGCATGTAATGGAAATTTCCAGGGGCAGGTATAAATATGCTGGCAAGAATCAGTCTGGAGATAACGAGGTTAGTTCAATCAGGGAGGGTGAGGTCCTCTGCTAGCAGCTGAAGTGTGAACACCAAGGGAGGAGAAACTGCTTCTGTAGTTGGATAGCCATTCACAGTCTTTGTTTAATCCTGATCTGATGGTGTCAAATTTGCAAATGAACTGAAGCTCAGCAGTTTCTCTTTGGAGTCTGGTCCTGAAGTGTTTTTGCTGTAAGATGGCTACCTTTACATCTGCTATTGTGTGACCAGGGAGGTTGAAGTGTTCTCCTACAGGTGTGCAACTGTGGGAAGGGGCATTGACCTGGCTAGCTATTCCCCAGCGTGACCAGAAAGTGCCATCCTAGCGGTGAGTGGAACATCCCATCACACACCACATTCCACTAAGGTGCAAGAGCCGGTCTCTTATTTCACTCTCTTTGTTCTCAAAAATGACTACATCATTTCTGCTCAAACTTTCTAGGAAAACACACTCCTAGGCTGGGAATAAATTTGTTAAATTTCAGCCTGAAAGGTAAAAGCTTGCCAAAGTTATAAGCATCTGAAAATTACATTCTATAATGATAACATATGTGGAACTTTAACTATGAGCATCACTATGCGCTCCACTTGTTTTATGTATGACTTTACTCTTCCAGAATTTTAATTGAGTATAAACGCTGGTCTGTGTTTTCATCATACTGGGCCAGATTCACTGGAACTTTTTGATTGCTTTGTGCTGCTCCATCATCATAAAGCAGCTGTAAATCCAATGTAACCAGCAAGTTAAACTGGGTTTACAGCTGTTTTGCATAGCGGCCAGAGTGTACTGGTGAATCTGATACATTATATTCTTGAAATCATACTTTTTTATGTTGACTGTCTGGGAATGGCCACCATAATTATAGCTGTAGTTTGTTAAAACCAGAATGAAATAATAGACATTTGCGAAAGAATTTCAGACAAGACAATTAGTGAATACGAAAGGAAGAGCTAAATTCAGCCAATTAGTTCTGTGTTACAAATAATTTGACCAGCTCTAGTGATGACTGGCTAATGTTTGCTTTAAAATATCTCTGATCAGTAGATAATCTTCAATTCCCCAGCAAGCTGATTGGTTGACGAAACCCCTGTTGGATTCTGATGGCAAGTAGAACGTAATACATCTGAAGCACTACAAAAAGAACACAACAAACAGATGTACCAACTTTTTCAGGGCACACTCCAATTCATTCTTTTCATTATCGGCTTCTTGGAGCTGGGAGAAAACTCTGACCAGGAACTCTTCAAAATTGGAAAGTAAACGAGGTTCATCTTTTCTCAGCTGCGACCAAAGTTGTCTTATATTGCTCTCGCTGAGGGATGAAAAGAAAAGAGAATAAAGTATTTGTTAGGAGATAAGATTTTTCAGGCTGGAGTAAATGTTTGCAGCAGCTAGTAACACAAAGAAAATTTCAGCAGCTCATTGGTCAGAACATGAGGCTTGTCATCCACGTGGGCTATATATGCAGGTCCTAATTGTGACTGGTCCTTATGTGGGTGCCCAGGATGGGATGGTTGGAGGCAGATGCAGAGGGATTCTTCCCATTACTTGTCTTGGCAAAGGGGATCATTGCAATTTCCATCCCTGTGCATGGGGGAGCTCCATGCACCCCAGGGCACATCTCGTCCTACAGGGGTCAGGAAATAGAGAAGGTGGGGGCCATAAGTCTTTATTCTCTGCATAGGCCCACAGAGCAAACTGGGGTACTTAGAGGAGTGGACTTCACCACCTGTGTATTCCCCAGTTCATCAGGAAGCTTGGGAGGCGGAGGGGAGGAGGGGGGAGGATTGTGTCATCTATCTATCTGCCCCTTTCCCCCATCACTACTAGTCTCTGAGCACCATATACATAAATAAACAAAATGCCACACTTAAAGTATGGACTCTCAAAACATGTGACTTCTTTAATGAACACACAGAACTATATTCAGTTCTCTTCAGTCATAACAAAGGGACAATACCTGTCAAGAATGTGGGGTAGGGTAGATATTAAAATCCTGTTTTCCATGCACTGCCCTTTTAGTGCAAGAAGATTCTGTCTGCCCATTGTGGAATAGTGTGTATGAGCTATTTCCAGATGTCTGTTACAGAGTAACACACTTTGCACTATCTAGGCCTGATACTCAGCTGCCTGGTACCTGCTGTACTCATTTACACCTGCATAAAGGGAATATAAATGGGGGTAAAACACCACCACTGTGATTTGGTAGCATTTTACACCCACTTTGCATAGTGCAGGGCAGTGGAGCTTCAAGCCTTCTCCCTCACATGTTCTTGGAGAGTTGCATTTATTCCTTCTTTGTTCTCTGCTTACCTTATTCTGAAATAAAAGTCATGCAGATGGGAATTATGTGTTTTGCTTATTAGGCTTAATTTCCAAAGCTATCTATGTATCTAAAGAAGCACATAGGCATCTAATCTGACAATTTAAATGGATTAGGCAAACTGTAAAGGCAACAAGGAAGAGAGACAATACAGAATATCTACCTATAGGGGATTACATTGGAAAGGAATAACAAGCAACTAACAGTTACACATGAAAAACTACTAGGGTAGAGTGTATTGTATTTATAATTAAAAGACACATTTGTATCCAGGGGATAATTTGGAGACTTTTGTGGACTGAGTTAGTTCAAACTCAAGAAATGGGAGCCAGCCCATAAAAAGTATTGGATCCCTACTGAAAACCTGTACTAAAATGCCCAGGGATCAAAATTGAGACTACATGTCAATATGGACCATGGCTCATTTTAAACATCCTCCTGAGATCAGAACACCGAGCCAGATTACAATTCTGAATGAGTCGTGAAGAACATTCACTTCTACATCCAGCCAACGTTTGTAAGCAGAATCACACAAACACACACCTAGGGCCTGATCCTGTGAGGGGCTGAGCATCTTCAGCTACAGTGGGGGTTGAGTGCATTTAGCACCTTAAGAGAGATGTTCACCCTCTGGCAGAATCAGGCCCCTGAAGTCCTGAAGCTCAGCTTGAACTCAAGGTATTCACTGAAGAAACATATAATCCTACCAATTTAGTCTGGAAAGCTAAAATAGGACTTTGCCATAAGGTTCCCTATATTATCCAGTCCAAAATAGCAAATTATTAGGCCAAAATTGCTTCCTTTAATCTCTGATAAAGACAGATTTCATTTATATTCAGTGATATACTTAGTCCACCTGAAGAACATATGGAGTCAAACTAGACCTAATTATTTTAGGCCAATTCCCATTAATCCCTTTCCCCACTCAATTAGAAATCTCTTCCCCTAATTTAGGGTATGTCTACACTACGAGGGTAATTCGATTTTACTTAAATCGAATATGTGGAATCGATATTGCAAAGTCGAACGTGTGTGTCCACACTAAGGACACACTAAGGACAGTAATTCGACTTTGTTAGTCCACACTAACGGGGCGAGCGTCGATATTGGAAGCGGTGCACTGTGGGCAGCTATCCCACAGTTCCCGCAGTCCCCGCTGCCCATCGGAATTCTGGGTCGAGCCGCCAATGCCTTCTGGGTAAAAAAAATTTGTCGTCATCCGTCCGTCACTAACGCTCTCCCTCCCTCCATGAAAGCGCCGGCGGGAAATCAGTTCGCGCACTTTTCTGGTCAGTGACAGCGCGGACGCCACAGCACTGCGATCATGGATCCCGCTGCGACCATCGCTGCAGTTGTGGCCGTTCTCAACACCTCGCAGCTTATCATACACCTTTCCCTGAGGCAGATGCAGAGAAATCAGGCGAGGAGGCTACGGCACCGCCGTGAGGGCCTGAAGTCGGAGAGTAGCACAGAGCTGTCAGAAACCACGAGCCCCAGCGCCCAGGACATCACGGTGGCAATGGGGCATGTGGATTTTGTTGAACGGCGATTCTGGGCCCGGGAAACAAGCACGGACTGGTGGGACCGTATAGTGCTTCAGGTCTGGGATGAATCCCAGTGGCTGCGAAACTTTCGCATGCGGAAGGGGACTTTCCTCGAACTTTGTGAGTTGCTGTCCCCTGCCCTGAAGCGCAAGGACACCCGCATGCGAGCAGCCCTCACTGTCCAGAAGCGAGTGGCCATAGCCCTCTGGAAGCTTGCAACGCCGGACAGCTACCGGTCAGTCGCGAACCACTTTGGTGTGGGCAAATCTACCGTGGGGGTTGTTGTCATGCAAGTAGCCAAGGCAATCGTCAAGGTACTGCTCCCAAAGGTAGTGACCCTGGGAAACGCGCAGGTCATCATAGATGGCTTTGCCGCGATGGGATTCCCAAACTGCGGTGGGGCTATCGATGGGACTCACATCCCTATCCTGGGACCGGACCACCAGGCCAGCCAGTACATCAATAGAAAGGGCTACTTTTCAATGGTACTGCAAGCACTGGTGGACCATCGGGGACGGTTTACAAACATCTACGTCGGATGGCCGGGCAAGGTTCATGACGCTCGCGTGTTCAGGAACTCTGGTCTGTTTAGACGGCTGCAGGAAGGTATTTACTTCCCAGACCACAAAATAACTCTTGGGGATGTGGAGATGCCTACAGTCATCCTCGGGGACCCAGCCTACCCGCTAATGCCCTGGCTCATGAAGCCCTATACTGGCGCCCTGGACACAGAAAAAGAACTCTTCAACTACCGGCTGAGCAAGTGCAGAATGGTAGTGGAGTGTGCTTTTGGCCGTCTCAAAGGGAGATGGAGAAGCTTACTGACTCGCTGTGATCTCAGTGAAACCAATATCCCCATCGTTATTGCAGCTTGCTGTGTGCTCCACAATCTGTGTGAGAGCAAGGGGGAGACCTTTATGGCGGGGTGGGAGCTAGAGGCAAATAGCCTGGCTGCTGATTACGTCCAGCCAGACAGCCGGGCCATTAGAAGATCCCAGCGGGACGCCCTGTGCATCCGGGAGGCTTTGAAAGCTAGGTTCCTGAGTGAGCAGGGCAACCAGTGACTTTTCAGTTTGTGGACAGAAAAGCTGAACCTGCCCCCGTTTCTTTACCCAGTTCATTTTGACTATCCTCTCCAGTTACATACCCCCTTCACCCCCTTCCCCTTCCCAAAAAATAAAATCATTTCGATTTTGTTAATGAACACCGTTGTCTGTATTGCTGTTTTCGCGGGAATATTTTAAACCGGGGACGCAGACTGTGGCGGGGGGCGGGTTCAGTGTTCGGATGCAAATGATGCCTCTAAACTCCCGGAATGACAGGCTCCGCACTGGTGGACTGGTTATTTCAATGGAGCCTGCCAGCACTCCTGGGGGGGACTGTGTGTATGTGTCGGCTATGTGACTTTCTGGCAGGGGGGGTAGGGTTACAGATCCCCTGCTGCGTGGATCTGTGAGCCAGGATAAGGACCGCTGCATAAGATCTGTAACCGCCCTCCCCCACCACAAAGTAACAGAGCAACCCCCCCCCCC